CTGCATACCTCGATCTGCTTCAGTAGCAAGATCAGGCAAGTCTTCATTTTCACTAGCGTAGTGCCAGTCGGATTGAAGTTCGACGTTAGTCGTTCCAGCAGGACATGGAATAAGATAGACATCATTGGCATTCTCATCCTTTCCCATGATAGCATCGTGAAAGACATTTGACGTATCAAAATAGCCAGTCTTCACAACTTGCGGAGTTCGAGCTTGAGTTGCATCGAATCCTTGGCTCACTTGAGCACCACAGAAGCCTTGTTGGCTGAGTTGCATTCCACTGAACACAATCTCACCGTTAGAATTTATAGAATAAGGGACAGTTACAGTGCCGCCACCTTGAGTTGGAATCTGCATGAGCTGCATTCCCGAAGGAACTTGCATCATTTGATCACTTGTAGTACCAGCAAGTCGCAAAGGTGTGTTAACACTTCCCGCAACACTTGATGTTCCACCAGTATTTACACTTGTCGCTGGAGAAGTTCCAGGAACTGTAGCTGTAGCTGGGACAGTTGCTCCAATCTGATTAAGATTGAGCTTCTTCCCGTAATCAACATAGTGTTTCGGATGCTTCCATTGACTCTCTGGTATCAGTCTGTCTGGGCATTTTGGAGACATATGGTCCTCTTTGCCACATACATAACATGCTGCCTTTTTCTTATCGTCCTTCAGTTTACCTTTACCTTTATTTGGCTGGTCTTTTCCTTGGTAAAGGTTCACTCCCAGATTCTTGATCACATCCATATGAATCTTCAAAATATCTTGTGCTTTGCTGACCGTCTTTGGATTCCCTGCAGTAGTTCGTCTGAAGATCATCAGAGGAGCTGTTCTCGTTCGATCACAGTTCCACAGGAATCCTGTTGCAAGAACAGCTTCAAAGATATCATCCTTGAACTTGTCTTTAGCAATAGTATCGGTGCTAGCAATAGCAGCATACGCTTTTGTCTTGGCTGCAAAATTTCGGAACCAGGCAACGCCATATAGATCTTGTAGGACTTCAGCCTGTCTCAAGAATCGTTCCTTGAAATGCATCAAGTTTTCGGTTGTTCCTTGCTTCATAGCAAAGAACTTTTGATTGGCTTCCCAGAAGAAATCCAAGAAGTCATACTCAGCATCAGCACTCTTCTTCATGAATCGTTCAATACGTTTCAAGAGTTCGATTGGATCTTCAAGAGTAGTCGTGAAATTGGCTTCACCTGGAAGCTTGATATCCATTGCTTTCGTCACAAACTTAAGCATGATGTTTGATTTGACAGTTTGCTTGTTCATTTTGAAGTAGGCTGATCTTCGCATGTTCTCGTCAAGCTTTGCAGAATAGAGAATCTTGTTTTGAGCCATCTCTGTTTCTCTTGCAACAGCTTCAGTTTGAGTTGGAGCATTCAATGTTGGAGCAATCGCATTGAAGTCGATCAACTTTCCATCTTGAATTGATTTCACCATGTCTTCGGAACGTTTCATTCCAGAAGCTTGGATGTAGTCAATCACTCTTTCTTCAGCATCTTTGTACGACGATCTTGCCTTTCCATTGTTTTCATCTTTCATTGAAAATAGATGTTTCACAACTGTTGAACTCAAATTGCTCTTGACTTTCTGAGGAGTCACACGTTCTTTTCCTCCACCGGATGAAGAACATCCCATAGTCAACGAATCACTCACCCCTTTGTAGATAAGGCAGTGCTGTTCTTGACGTAAATTTGTTTTGTTACCTTTTGTGATTGAATGTTAGAATAAAGCAAAATGTGCTCTATTGCAAGTGCCTTTAGCGCTCAGAACCAAACTCTCTGCAATCTAAATTTGTAATCGACTATACAACACTTTCATGACAATAGTTCTCCTGTGTTAGGTATACTTTGAGTGAAATTGTTCCTATTTGATTAATGTTTGGCTTGAATTGATGATTCATTCTCTTGCCTAAAAAAAAAAGAATATGTCAGGATTTCTTTTTTTGTATGGCGGTGCAACTTATGCGCCCCCTGCGCACCCTCCGGTGGACTCTGACAAGACCTG